CCCCTCCCCCCCCCTCGAAAACCGAGGGGGGGGTCACTACCGCTTCGATACCCCCCTCCCCACCCCTTCGAAAACCGGGGGGGTTTCGAACCCCCCCCCCTCGAAAACCGGGGGGGTCACTATTGGTTCGAACCCCCTCCCCCCCACCACGCTCACCGCCAGCAAACAACTCTGGATCCCTACCACCGTCCGCACCACATCCCCCACTGCTGTCCCCAGCACCACTGTCATCACCATCACTGTCCCCTCTGTTCCCACCAACGTCACCACTGTCCTCACCAGTGCCCCCACCACTGTCGCACTGTCCCCACTGTCCCCATCACTGTTCCCACCACGGTTCCACTCCCCACTTTCTCCATGGCCCCACCCACTTTCCCACTGTCCCCACTGTCCCACTGTCCCCGCCGCTGTCCCACTGAGCTGTCCCACTGTTCCCACCACTGTCCCCACTGTCCCCACCACTGTCCCTACTGTACCTCTGTCCCATTATCCCACAACCGTCCTCGCCACCGCCCTCCTGTCGCCACCACCACTGTACCCTCCACTGTCACACTGTTTCCACCACATTCCCACTGTCCCCACACCGCTGTCCCCACCACCACCGTCCCCACCACTGTCCCCACCATTGTCCCCGCTGTCCCCACCCCACCAGTGCCCCCACCAGTGTCTCACTGTCCCCACTCTGCCCGCCAGTGTCCCACCACAATCCCGCTCTCCCCACTTTCCCAACAGTCCCCATCACTGTCCCACTGTCCCCACTGTTCCCACCACTGTCCCACTGTCCCCGCCGCTGTCCCACTGTGCTGTCCCACCGTCCCCACTGTCCCCATCACTGTCCCACTGTCCCACTGTTCCCACCACTTTCCCCACTGTACTACTGCCCCACCACTGTCCTCACAAGCGCCTTCAGCACTGTCCCCACTACTACAGTCCCCACCACTGTCCCGCTGTCTCCACCACTGTCCCGCTGTCTCCTCACCAGTGTCCCTACCACCACCGTCCGCACCACTGTCCGCACAACTGTCCCACTGTCCCCGCACCACTGTCCCCACCACCACCGTTCCCACCACTGTCCCAACATCCCCACCATTCTCCAATTGTCCCGAGGAGCGGGCATCGTTTGCTTGCGGCGAGGGGGGGGGGGGGGTTCGAACCAGAAGTGACCCCCCCCAGTTTTCGAGGCGGGGGGGGGGGTACGAACCTGTAGTGACCTCCCCCGGTTTTCGAGGGGGGGGGTTCGAACTGGTAGTGACCCACCCCTCGGTTTTTCGAGAGGGGGGGACGGGTAAGGAACCCCCAGTGACCCCCCCCCGTTTTCTGCCAGCAGCGGTAGAACACGCTTTGTCACAGACACACACACACACACGCACACACACGTACACACACACATACATACATACATACCTACCTACCTACCTACCTACCTACCTACCTACATACATACATACATACATACATACATACATACATACATATATATTCCCCAATCAGTGCTTGCACTGAAGGGGTCCTCGCGGAAGTTGAAAGAGTTGGCGAAAAAGTCCCGCCGAGTTTGGTCGCACGCTGGGTTCCGGGGTTCCCAGTTCCGGGTTCCCGGGTTCCAGGTTCGGGGCCGATTCCGGAGGGCGGCGAGGTTCCCGCGTTCCTGGGTTCCTGGTCGATCTTCTTGTCGATCGGTCTCACCATCGATCTAATTACCCACTTCCCTATCGATCTCACCATCGACCTCACAATCAATCTCAATATCGATCCCACAAGCGATCTCACTAGATCTCGCATGAGCGATCCCGCGATCGATCTCACGATCGATCTCATTGAATCGATTTCACTCTCGGTCTCACGATCGACCTTACAATCGTCCTCACTATCGATTTCACTCTCGGTCTCACGATCGATCTCACAATCGATCTCAAGATCCATAATATGAATTTTCAAATCATCCACTCATTGGGCTTTCTCGGGTGTAATATATATATATATATATACACACGTAGATCGCCGACCAGTGGGTGACGGGGGGTCGATGTCCCCCCCGCCACCGGAGCCCATTCCCCCCCGAACGCTGCCCCTGACGACAGGTTCCCAGACCCCCTCGAGTCGTGAAAATATCACGACGGGAGGTGTTTCGTTGTTTTCGGCATCCGGGGGCCCTTACCAGGCCTCGGGGCCGTCAAAAAACGACTCAGGATGAAAAACCAGAACTCTGGGGGCCGACGTTTGGAAAAAACATGACGTCGGGGGTCTGGGTTCTGAGGAGAGGAAGGACGTGCGAGGCGGGGAATCCCCGCCGGTGATCGTCCATGACCACCGCCTGGGGAAATCGGCCTACGGGGACTTCGGCAGAGGTGGTGAACATGGATGCCCTTGGCCCCCCCCATCCCCACCCCCAGGGCCAGAATATGTCCATATCCGCCGCATGCTGCGGACTACGATGATCTATGGTGTCTTTTTCTTGCGAACCGGAAACGCGACCACATGCACCAAGCATGCCTGAAATCACGTGAAGGCCAACGTGCAATAGCCGAGCCGACACGCAAACCCTCGGCTGCGCAGACAACCCAATATTTGGGCCCCCCTCTGGCAACGGAGGAGGGTTGGTTAAACCCCCGATCAGGAGCGCATCGACAGACCCCAACACTGGGAGAGCAAACGCAGAGTCAATGACAAAAGTCGGGGAGCTGTAAGACTCGGGCTCGGGGGACCCGGCTTGGGTTGTGGATGCCACGACAATGGACTCCCTGTCGGAAACATGTTATAAACATGTGTTTTACATGTTTAAAACACGTTTAACACATGTTCTAGACATCTGGAAAATATTTGGCAACATGCTTCTTCGCCATTAATCGACTTCCACAAGGCTCGGGAGACCCGGCTTGGGCCTGACGGGGCCATCAATGAAAACGACGAGACCCAGTCTGAAACCTGACGCGAGCCCCCTCCATCCAGGACGCGCTCGTCAAGAGGCGTCGGCAAACCCGAGCTCCGGCGCACTCGAGTCTCACGCTTCCCCGAAATAGGTGTGCTTTGCAACCGGCACCCTGGGGGGCACCCTGCATGTGGGGCGGGCGAGGATCTCGACAGACCTATCCGCCGCGATCCCCGCGGCGGCCCGAAGCCGCGCCGCCCAACGGGCCACCTGCCCTGCGCGGCGCGGGGCAAGGGCGCGGGATACCTCCCGGAGACCCCCTGGGCCCCAAGCCGCCGGACTGGCCACCTTGCTGACAGAGTGTGGCAAAATTTGGGCAGGGACCGACCGTCCTGGCAGTTCTATGGACCTTCCGCGGCACGCTCTTAGCACCAAAAAATGTTCCGAGAGCCCAAACACTGCTCTTAGAACGTGGGCCCGATGTGTGAAAACGAGCCCGATGTGTGAAAACGTGAGCCCGATGTGTGAAAGGAGCATCTCGTGCAGACCATCAAACGGTTCTCAGGACATTCTTCGGTGGGCCTCTAGGCACGCCAGGACGCCTTTTGCCTCTGCTTGGAAGTCCTCTCCTCAGGTGGCCCCCGCAGCCGCGGGCCCAGGCCCCGCCCCAGGCGCCGCCTGGGCCTCAGGCCCCAGATGTGGGGGGGCACCAAAACAAGAACATTGGGCCGAAGCCTATCCTCGGGTGACCCCGGCTGCTGCGGGCCCGGGCCCCGCTGGGAGACTCTTCCCGTCGCCTTCCTTCTCAGCCTCCTCGTCCTCCGTCTCCGCCTCCGCCTCCGCCTCCCCTCCTCCTCTCCTCCTCCTCCTCTTCCTCCTCCTCCTCCGCCTCCTCCTCCTCCTCCTCCTCCTCCTCCGCCTCTTTCTCCTCTTTCTTCTCCTCCTCCTCCTCCTCCTCCTCCTGCTCCTAGAATAGGAGTGGGCCGAAGCCTGTCCTCAGGTGACCCCTGCTGTTGTGGGCCCTGGCTCCGCTGGGAGACCCCCCAGGAGGGGTGCGGGGAGGGGGGAGGACAAGCAAGGTGCGCTCGCGCCATATCTGATGTCCTACCCCTCCCTCCCATCCCTTGCCATGGCGTAGATCTCCTCTCTATTCGCACAGTCAGATGTCGAGCAGGGCAATGATTTCGAGAGGGTACGCGATGCATGGTAGAGCACGGCATGGCGTGGCGTAGAAGAGCACGGCAGAGCGTAGCATGCCGTAGCATGACGTGACACTGCGCGGTGAAGCATTGCAACGCACAACATTGCAACGATAAGCATGGCATCGCACGGCGGCGCAGAACACAACACCGCACAACATGTCATGGCATAGCGCTGGGATCCCTGGAGGGTCAGCGGATCGTCTTCGAGAGGTCTGGGCCGTTCTGGAGTCGTGGTTCCATGTCTAGCTCCTTGGGCTCCCCGGAAAGCTCCACACAAGGCGGGGCTGATGGAGAGCACCCGCTGGCTCTGCTTTTAACATCGCCTTCTCAAAGCAGAAACGGAGCTCCCGCTTGATACTTCCTGAAAACGACGACGCCCCGAAGTTGGGGGGGGGCTTCTGCGGCCCAAAAAACCAACGAATCGACACCGCATGTATACTCTCGTTCGATTGTTTTTTTCGGGGGGCCATTTTCTAGGTTCTGGGGCCTAATTGGAAGGACCGAAGACGCCCGCGCTGCAGCAGGAGCACGATTTGGAACAACCAGGGGCGCAAAAATGAGGCCAGCGTTTCAGCGAAACCAACATTGCGAAACAGAACCCGAGCGAAAACCCGATTCCCGGGAATCCGGTGCAAAGCACTGTACGCGGAGCGGGGCCGGAGATCTTCCGGACGTCATCAGGGGAGAGAGGCGAGCAGTAACTACTCATTTGGTGTGACTGTGGACGCGGGCCCGTGCGTGTCCCTCGTGCCCCATGGCAAGCGGATCGGAGCTGGAGGAGGAGGAGGGAGAGGATGATGACGAGGAGGAGGAGGCACTATGGGGCTTGCGGGCCGGGCGCCCTGCATCACGACGCACGGGGGTGGGAGGCGAACCCGCGACCGCCCGCGGAGAAGAGCGCGTGGCGATGAGATCCCGGGCGGATGGGGGAGCGAAGGCGCCTGCGCACGGAGCTCTGCACAGATGCTGGCGAGGAGGAACAATGGGCCGACTACTGCATCCACCACTTCTATCAGAAGGGAAGGAGGAGGAGGAGGAGGAGGAGGAGGAGGAGGAGGAGGAGGAGGAGGAGGAGGAGGGGGAGGAGGAGAGGAGGAGGAGGAGGAGAGGAGGGGGAGGAGGAGGAGGAGGAGGAGGAGGAGGAGGAGGAGGAGGGGGAGGAGGAGAGGAGGAGGAGGAGGAGGCGGAGGAGGAGGAGGCGGACCTCCCAATCCTCCCTTCTCCCCCGTCCTACCTATTGCAGTGGTGGTGGGAACTGGGCCCATCAGCCGAGGCGCCCGCGAATCGCGCGTCGGGCGCCAAGTGCATGGCGGCCCGGAGGTGCTCGGCCTGGCGGCGGGCCCGCGAGCCGGGCAGCTCGCCCCAGTCATCTGGCCAGGCCACTCCCAAGCGAGGTTCCGCGTGCAGGGCAGCGAGAGCGGTGCCGCAGGATATCCCAACCCCTCCCCCCAGTGGGCCATGGAAACGACAAGGCATTTTTTTTCACTGGCTCCGCTCCGCTTTTTTTGCTGCGGGTTCCGTTCCGCCGTTTTTTTTGTCAGTTCCGTCGCCGTTTTGTGTCCGGTTCCCGTTCCGGTTCCAATCCCGGAGCTGTTTTGTCGTCGTTGCAGGTCGCTGTTTTTTTCCTCCGCTCCCATCTTCAAGACACTCTTCCGGAAACGGCGACACAACGGCCCCGCCGTTTCCAGCGCCAACCAAGCCTGTACACCCCCCCCCCGCAGCTCCTGGCGTCGGCTCCTTCTCCTCCTCCTCCTCCTCCTCCTCCTCCTCCTCCTCCCCCTCCTCCTCCTCCTCCTCCTCCTCCTCCTCCTCCTCCTCCTCCCCCTCCTCCTCCCCCTCCTCCTCCCCTCGAGACTGACCACTGTCTTGCCTCGGCCGCCGCCACGAGGACGAAGGCTGGGTCGCTGCGCGTGGGGCGCGCTGGCGAGGGGCGCCGCCCCCGGGTGCAGAGCCCGCGGGCTGGGGCGCGGCAGGGGGGAGCTCTTCGAGGCAGCCTTCTCTCCGGCCGCGGACGGTCCCGCCATGGCGCCTTCGTGGCAGCCCTCGCGGCCCCCCGCCTCGACCCCCCCTCGCACGGCGTGTCGCCTGGAGTGGGGCACTGCTGCGGCACAGCGCAGGAGCAAACGCACTGGACAGGCGGACTGGTGGCCAGCGACGAGGGAACCCACGACACGCTCGGTGGTAACTCATGGGAGCCTTCCATACCCGTCTTGCCGGCTCTTGCGAATCGAGGCTGATCGACGCTAGTCGACGCTGAATCGACGCTGAATCGACGCTAAGTCGACGCTGATTGACGCTAGCCGACGCTAAATCGGCGCTATCTCACCGACTCCCAGACGCTAATCGACGCGAAAGACGGAATTACGAGGGCAGACCAGGCTCCCATGATTTGCTACCGAAGACAGGTGAACCCGACAAGCGAAACAGGACCAGAAGATGCGAGGATCGGAGACAAAAGGCCAAGGTCCACTGATCCGCCATGGGCGGCCCATAGCAAGCGTGCGAAACTGCGCACAAACCATAATCCCACATGCGTCACGTTGCATCTTCGGGGGACCTCGCCTTTCCCACAAATTGGTGTCATTTCTTGTGCCCGACGCGGGCGCGATGCGGACTCGACGCGGATTTAACGTAGATCCCACGCGTATTCGACACGGATTCGACACTGATCCGACATGGATTCGACGCAGATAGGGCCTCGACCGGACAGACAAGGTCCCCCGAGGATGCAACATGACATACGTGAGAGGCACCCTGCTTCGAAGCTGCAATTTAATGACTGCCACGATCCCACTTCGCACATGAGATCCATATCGCACATTCCCTCGACGCTTCCGTGCCAAGAGGAACACCAGACCACGCATGGGCGACCAACATCCAACAACTGTTCACAAAGAAAGCATCGACCAACTTATGGTGTCACACACGACTGTAGACGGCATCAGCAGTCCGACCGCTCAGAGGCGATTCGTTGCAATCATATCAGGGATCTTCTGCTCCAGCAGACTTAGAGGGGGGCGACCAGATTAGAGATCACATCTGAAGCAGAAGAGCAGAATGCTTGCGCGACTTAACGGTGGGAGATTCCATCGCGAGCCCAACGTGCGAAGCGCCAACAACCATCAAGCACTTGCAAATGTATGTGGCAACTCATGGGAGCTTCCCATCCATCTTGTCGGCCGACGCTGATCAACACTGATCGAGGCTAGTCGACGCGAGTCGACGCTAAATCGACGCTAGCCGTCGCTAATCGATGCTAGATCGGCGCTATCTCACTGACTACCAGACGCTACTCGATGCTAATCGACGCTGAAGACGGAATTAAGACGGTATACCAGGATCACATGACTTGCTAGCGAAGCAAAAGAAATGTAAAAAACACCAGAGAACAATCTGCCGTCGAAAAGTCCCGGACGGCTCCACCGACGCAGATTGCTTGGGCCGGCGCGGCCTGAGCCTGCATGGCTCGAGCGCCGTGGACAAATATCAGAGGTCGAAGACTGGGGCCCTGTCGAACGAATCTCGTTCGGTGGCAACTGATGGGAGCCCTTCTTGTCCGCTCTTGCGAATCGACGCTAGTCGACGCTAATCGACGTTAGTCGACACATGCGACGCTAAATCGGCGCTATCTCATCGACTCCCAGACTCGAATCGACGCTAAAGGAACGAAGCCCGGATGAGCAGGATCAGTCCGCACAGAGTCGGGCCGTCGGACCGAACCGAAATGTGCGCCGGATCGGGCTGCGTCAGCACGGAGTCGAAATCCATGCTCGGATCGGCCATGCCAGGGTGCTCCAGAAAGCTCGTGCAAGCGTCGGGGCGCATAGGATCAGCGAGCATCGGAAAATCGCATCGGATCGGGCCAGCCAGACACGAGATCGAGTTGGAGTGACATGGATCATGCTGGACGCCGCAGCCTCTGAACAGAGCAACGATGGCGATCACAAGGGGGCAAAAGCCCTCGCAGGGCGCCCATGCCGCTCACCTCCGCTGGAGAGATAAGGAGAGTGTGGGCGGGGCGATGCCAAAGGATGTCTGGTGCAGCTCGCGAGCACGCAGGCAAACCAAGCTGCCCACACACAGTGCGACTGGATCATAAGGATACGCAGTCAGGATGCAAGACCCGTGGACGCCCAAAGTCAGCCGAAGCTGGGAGCTTATGGCCCATGGCTTAAGGGTAAGACAGGCCGCGGGGCAATGATGCAAGGGCACCCTGAGTGGAAAATTGCTCATCCGTACGATCCTGCTTGACTGCGCCCACCAGCAAACAATGAATGTATTATATGTTTTGCACGCCGGTCCCGTGTCAGGAGCATCAATGGTTCTAGTCTCGTCCTGCTACAGTATGCCGCCTCAACGCCGACCCCATGCGGGCAATGGGATCGCAATCCCCACAACTTCCCAACGCCCCCCACCCGCAGGGGCTTTGGGTAAAATCTGACATATACATGCCCAGTTGGCGCCGGCTCCTCCAAGCGGGGCATCGAAGAGCACAATATTGCGCAAACGAATCATGGCTTGGTCTTGTGGTTTTCGCAGGCGGTGGTAATGCCAGGAGCACCCGCCCACGTGCCTCTTGCAAGGACAAGACAACGAAAAACCTGCCCTTCTGCAGCCGGTAGATGCCCTGGCGCCGAGAGCCACTGGGGGGGCGGGCACGAGCAGAGGCAGGCGAGGGAGGAGAACAAGGCACGAGACGGAGCGGGATGAGGACGGCGGCGATGACGACGATGATGACGTGGACGACGTGGAAGATGCCGACGACGGCGACGGCGGCGGCGATAGCCACGGGACGGGGGGGTGAAGGGGGTAAGAGGGAAGGGTAGCGTGTTCACCAGGAGGAGAGGCCGGGAGGAGGAGGAGGAGGAGGAGGAGGAGGAGGAAGAGGAGCAGGGAGGAGGAGCAGGGAGGAGGAGCAGGGATGATGATGATGATGATGATGATGATGATGATGATGATGATGAGGAGAGGAGGAGGAGGAGGAGGAGGAGGAGGAGGGAGGAGGGAGGAGGAGGAGGAGCAGGGAGGAGGCGGAGGAGGAGAGGCCTCCGGGGGGCTCGCCGTGCCCGAGGCCCAAAATCACCGTGCCCTCCGGGGGGGGGCGCCGAGGGGCCAAGAGGGGCTGCTTCTGGGCAGCAGCACCGGCAGGAGGGAGGGGCCCGTTGTCGTGGTCCTCGTCCTCCTCCTCCTCCGCCTCCCCTCCCCCACCTGCCCCCTCCCTCCTCCTCCTCCTCCTCCTCCTCCTCCATCCTCCTCCTCCTCCTCCTCCTCCTCCTCCTCCTCCTCCTCCTCCCCCATCTCCCCCACCTGCCCCATCCTCCCTCCCCTCTCCAGCAAGATCGGCAAGATCAAGAAAGCCTGCAGTCCCACCAGAGCAACGACGGAGGAAAGGGAAAACCGAAGAACGAGTCGGGAGCCTCCTGCCTGCCCTCCCCCTATCGGCGCCTTCCCCTCCCTGGCGGTCTCTGTGAGCTCCATCGATGCCCTGCCCCTCCCTCTCTTCCCCCTCGCCCATGCCCAGCCCCTCCCCCTCTCCCTCTCCCCCCCGTTCCCTCCTGGGAAGGGGGAGGGGGAGGAGAAGGAGGTTCGAAGCGGAGCCTTACTCATACCCTCCGCCTCGAGCGCGGCTGTACCAGGACCACCAAGGGAAATATGGACATGGGTATCTGCGGGCAAGCAAGGCCCCGAAGCTACCCAGGTCCTCTGCCTCCCGTGGTCCTGGGACATCGGTCCCCGAGGCTGTGGACGTGTATCAATCCCCGCCCCCGCGGAGGAGGAGGAGGAGGAGGAGGAGGAGGAGGAGGAGGAGGAGGAGGAGGAGGAGGAGGAGCCCGCGAACACCTTCCAACTGCCTTTCCTTGGCTGCCCGCAGGCACCTCCCAAGTGCCTTTCCTGGGCCCGCAGGCACCTCCCAAGTGCCTTGCCTGGACTGCCCGCAGGCACCTCCCAACTGCCTTTCCTGGGCTGCCCGCGAGCAGCTTGCTGTTCCCAGGCGCCCGCAAGCACCTCCCAAGTGCCTTGCCTGGGCTGCCCGCAAACACTTTTTCGCTGGTCTGCCCGCGAAGAGGATGAGGACTGACGATGAGAAACAGGAGAGGCAACATTGGCACCGGCACGGATCGCATCACTACAAGCAGCGCGCCTGCACTTGGGGCAGGACGCTGGGTACTCCCACCAGCCCTTTGGGGCGTAGGCGGTATAGGGAGCTCGTTCTTCCAACCCTCCCCCTACCCACTCCCCTGGGTCTAGAGGGGGCCGCGAGTGGACAGAGCGCGCAAGACGGCCGAAGATGGCTCCAAGACGGCCCAAGATAGTCCACGATACCCTCCATGATGGCTCAAGATATCGCAGGACCGCTCAAGACTGCTTCCAGCATGCTCCGAGAAGGCTCCAACGCCGCTCCAGTACTGCGAAGAAGTGGCCAAAGGGGCCTTTCAAGAACGCCCTCGAGAGGCCCACACCCAAGGGACATCAAATAGCTGGTTCACTGGTGTCGGTCCACTTCCGACGAGCTTCTGAGGCCTCCAGATGGGTCCAAGATGGCCCATGAAACCCAGGACGGCCCGAGAGCGCCCCAAGCAAGAGGCGATGTGGGGGGCTCCTGGGGCGGGGAGAATGGAAAGGACCCCGCCTTCGCCCAAGGCCAGACTCATTGAATCACACGCGCGTGGCTCCACGAGCTCTGCATTTCGGGGGAATCCGTGGGAGGCGTTTGGACCATGTGGCCCCAAGAAGGCTCCAGGTAGCGCAATCATAGCCTCCTAGACTACGCAAGGTGGCCCAGGATGGCTCAAGGCGTCCTCCAATACGTCTCCGCCGCAAGACCGCCTCCAAAGGGTCCCAAAGGCCCACGGCGCCTCCCACGGATGCGCTCGAGAGGCCAGCATCCTAAACCCACGGGGGATCCCAGGAGTTTGATCGTCTCGCTCTTTCGGGCTTCCGACGGGAATCTGATGCCGCACGATGGCTCCAAGATGGCCCCCAAAGAGCCACAGTGGAGGCCCAAGGCGATCCCAATACGGCCTCAAGAGCGCCAGAGGACCGCCCACAGGGGGGCCCAAAGAGGCGACTTCTCGGGGTCCAGAGTGGCGGCGTTGTTGGGAGCTCCTACATTATTTGATTCATGTCCTTCAATATTGCCTCAAGCGGACCCCCAAGGCTCCCACGAGGACCCCAAGAGGGTCCCAAGGGGGACCCAGGAAGACCCAAAGAGAGCCTCAAAGGCATCCAACATTGCCCAAATGAGCTACCAAGAGGCTCCCAGATCGAACGCTCCGTTGACTCATGGGCCTGGCCAGGTGATCAGGCTGATCCCGAGCTTCGCGGTCTGACAGCTGCCCCCATCTTTGTTCCACTGCTTGCTCCTACGCTTCCCTGATTAAGGCAACTCGATTCGGCAGTGTTTCTGGACGGGCTGTTGGGGATACGCGAGGCGTCAAGCATAGGGGAAGGAGGAAACCTCCAATGCGGCCATGCGGCTTCCTCACCGGCGATTTTTCTTGCGTGCGTTGCAAGCAAACAACACGATTGTCATGATTCAGCTCCCGCTACCCAACAGGGACAGGCTACGGGCCAACGTTCCAGGCGATGGCAGGACAATCTGCAGTGCCAGCGAATCTGTCCATCCATGAGCTGCGGAATCACGAGTCGGGGCATTTTTTTTGGTGGCGCAGGAGGTTTTGGAGGATCTTTGAAGGTTTGAGAAGGTTTGGGGGGGAGCCCTGGAAAATAGCAGTGTCGCCCTCCCCCGGGACATCAAATGTGCATGGATGGTCTGAGGTGTGATAGGGACGCGCGAAAACACACTCAACCCTCCCAATGTAGCCCACCGTTCATCTTCGCTGGTTTCGAAAATTACACCTGGGGAGGAAAGTGGGCCAATGGGAACTGCTGCATCGTATATGGACATGCAGCTCTATATTAATACATCGTGTGTACACATATAAACAAAGATGCAACAAGAAAAAACAAATACTTAGAGAATACTTAGAGAGATAGAGAGAACGAGAAACAACATAAAGAGAGGAGAGAGAGAGAGAGAGTGAGAGAGAGAGAGAGACACAGGGAAATAGAGAGAATGAGACACACACGAGCAAACAAACAACACACGGATGCAAACATCCGCCGAACCTGCCGGCGTGTGTGAGAAGCTTTTCCGGCCGCCGTGGAGCTGGCCGCCCTGCCAGCCAACCACGAGGGCTCCGGGCCCGCTGGGCCCTGCGCTGGCGCCGGACGGTCGGCCCACGGCTGGCGCGGGCGGCGCGGCCTGTCGCAGGCAGCGGGCGCAGCCGCAGCGGCAGCAGCAGCCGGCGCCGGCGCGGCGCACCCGCAGCCGCAGCGGCGCTCGGCCAGGGTCTCACTGAGGCGCGGTGCCGCCGAGGCCGCCCGCGCCCTCCGCGGGGGCGGCGCGGCGGGGCGCCGCGCGCGGCGCGGCGGAGCCTCTCGGACGGGGTCGCGGGGCCTGCCGCAGCGCGGCCCCGCGCGGGCAAGCGCTGGCGGCTCGGCCCTGCTGCCGGGGTGGGGCGGCACGCTGCCGCCCCCCCGGGCGGCGGCGCTCCTCTGCGAGGTGCCCGCGGCGCGGGCGCGCGGGGAGGGGGCCGCGGGGCGGCGCGGGCGCGCGGCGCCGGGCTGGGCGGCCCGAGGCGAGGCCGGGGCCGCCGGGCTGGGCATGTGCGGCGCAGCCCAGGGGCTGGGCTGCCGGCGGTCTCACCTCAAGGCCGCGCTCACGGCGATGTTGGTGAAGGGCGATGTCGGGAATCGGATTTCTGTGGCACCGAGCTCGCGCAGCACAACTTGCAGGAATTCACGAGCCACACTTTCCTACATGTTTCATAATGTGCGGATGTATCGAGCGAAGAACGGCGCAGCGAATCGTAGGAAAGCGCGAATCACCATGTCCTGCCATTGGTTTGGCCACGAACCAGTCCCACCTACAATGCCGAAACCTACAACGCCGTTACCTACATTGCCGTTAGCGCGTCTACGGTTTCAACAATTACACCATATGACTAGTACTCCTCTCTCCCCTGAGGACGTCCGGAAGATCTCCGGTCCACCTCCGCGTACTGTTTTTTACACAAAAGATTCCTGGGAGTTGGATTTTCGCTTCAACATCTTGCTCCCGCTGAGGCGCTGGCCTCATTCTCGGGCTTCCGCTCGTTCCGAATCGAGCTCCCGCTGCAGCGCTGGCGTCATTATTTCCAGTGCCATGCCACGACATGGTTTTCGGTCCTTCCATCGGCCCCCAAATTATAAAATGCCTCCCGAACAAACATCGAAAGTGATTACACATTCGGAATCGATTCGCTGATTTTTTGGACCGCAGAAACCCCCACTTTGGGGCGTCGCTACGCCGTGGTATGTCATGCTACGCGTTGATCTTCAACACCATGCTATGCCATGTAATGCTACGCCATGCTAAGACATCCGATTGTGCGAATGGAAAGGATATCTACGGTATGGTAAAGGATGGGAGGAAGGGGTAGGACGTATGATGACGCGAGCGAACGTAGATTGCCCTCCCCCCCTCTCCCCCCCCCCCTCTCCTCCCCCCTCCTCTCCTCCTTGCGTTTCGCCATGGGGCTCGCTTGCGCTTGTCAAACATGTGCGAAGCTTCTCCGTTTGAGTCGTCGTCGTCGTCCTCGTCATTGTCGTCGTCGTCACCGCTCCCCCCCGTTTCCCTAAGCCTCTTACTCAAGCGTTACAGCCAAAGGGGAATCGAGCAGCGTCGCAACCGAGCCGACAGGAAGCCTCTTCCCTTTGATCACTCCCCTGTGGGGGTGTGGGGGTCCCGGGGGTTGTGACCCCCCCCTTCTCCGCGGGGGAGCACCCCTCCCTGAGAGAAGCTTTCCCCTTCGATTACTTGCCTCCTGCACGCCTCGAACTTACTCGTACCGCGGCTGGCTTGCTTCAAGAGGGCCCTCAAACAGCGGTCGCGCCAAGACGGCCACGGACACTCTTAAAGCGGTGCCGGAAACCTCCAAGACGCCCCAAGAGAGCTCCAAGGGGAGCTCCATGAGGGCCCGAAGTGGCGACGACCCTTGACTTCCATGCCGTTGCTCACGATGTGTGCTTACCGTCCTTGCCTTCTCGGGCTTCCGACGCTCCAGGGCGGCCCAAGAGACCTCCCAAACGCACCAAGATTGCCCAAGAGGCTGCCCAAGAAGCGCCCCAAAACGGCCAAAGACGGCCCAGTGTCTCCCAGACGGCCGAGGAGGGCGCCAAGCGGGGCCCCAAGAGGCTCCCAAAAGGGGCATCAGCCTGGATTTCGAGCCTTCCGTCACGAAGGGACACCCAGGAGACCCCCAAGAGGCCCAAGAGACCCCGAGGAGCACCCAAACAGAACCCCAAGATGGCAACATCAATGATTTGTCAAACGAGTTGTTTTAATGTTTTTCGTTGTCGCCGTCGTCGTCGTCGCCGCCCCCGCCGCCGCCGCCTCCGTCGTCTTCTTCGTCGTCGTCGTCGTCGTCGTCGTCTTCGTCGTCGTCATCGTCGCCTCCCTTCAGGGTCGGCGGCACCAGCCGTAAGGTCTTCGCAATAAGAAAGAAGGAAAACAGACAGAGAGAGGTAGAGAGGGAGCGAGTCACAGAGAAAGTGTGTGAGAGAGAGAAAGAGAGACAGAGAGAGATAACAGAAAATATGAAATGAGAGAGAAGGAGCGGGTAGGAGTCCATTGCAGAATAAGGATTCTCCTCCCCCGTTGCAGAATTGATACCAGGCAAGAGGCAGACGAGGAGTGCAGAGGAGAACAGCTGGGACAGCTGTTGCAGCACACCGCGTTGAAAGACCTTCCCCACCGCCCAGTGACGACGACGACAACGGCGTCAGCGGCGGCGGGGACAGGGCGACGACGACGACAGCAACGGCGGCGGCGGCAAGCGGCGGCGGCGACGGCGGCGACGGCCCAAAACGCTCCTGCGAGGCAATTTCGGCCTTCAGGTCCGCGAGGCTCCACCTCGGCTGGCCCCTCCCCGTCCGGCTCGGCATCGGGACGGCCCGCCGTGGAAGGGGCGGGACGCCAGGAGGCTCCTCCAGGAGGGAGGGGGGAGGAGAGACCTTGATTGATCGAGGCTCCTCCCCCCTCCTTCTTCTCCCCTCTCCCCCCTCCCCCCCCCGGCCCCCCACGAGAGGAGCACCGGAGGCCCTCCGAGCGCCGAGCCTGCCCCCGTACTGCTGCACGGCCAGCGCCTCGCCGTCCTCGAGGAGTGCCGAGGAGATCGCGGAGGGGCGGGGGAAAGAGAGATCTTAGAGCAGGGGCCGACCGTCCCGGCATTCCTATAGGCCTAGCACGAAATCTTCTCAGAACCCCAAGATGCTCTAAGAACGGAAACAACGTTCTTAGAACGTAGACCCGATGCGCTCATACACGACACTTTCAGCCTGAAGTGTTCTAAGAACAGTTCGAGCAGACCACAAAAGGTTCTTCGAACAATCTTTGGTGGGCTTGTAGGCGAGCCAACACGCTTCGTCACTGCTTGAAGATTGGTGAGGGCGCCAGGGAGGCGGAGGGAGTGCCGCAGCGTGTGCCGCAGCGGGTGCCGCTTCCGATGGGGTCCGCGTTCGGCCGAGGGCGCGCTCCACTTGTCGGGCGGGGGGCGGGAGCAGGCAACCGCATTCAGGAGGCAACTGCTGGGAGGTCTTCGTCGGAATGACAAGGGAGGGTTAAACCCCATTGGGGGATTGCTACGCCAGATTAGGCCGCGGATTAAGCGGGATAACAACGGACAAAGCGGAATTCAGCGGGATAGGACCGGATTGGGCGGGATGTCGGACCAGGGCGATGTCAGAATCTGAACCCCCTAGGAGTTGCATCCGAACCGCATGTGAACCCGAATACTGAAGATCAGGTTTCTCAAGGATGAATCCTAGCGAGCGTGTCCGACCCACCAGCGTCGATTGGGCCCGCGAGGATCGGGTTCGCAAGAGGTCGCAGATGGGAAGGCTCTCTCCGCGACGTCCTGTCCGATGAGGAGGGCGCTGAGCAACATGTCCAGCAGCTGGCCCTGGACGAACCCAGTCTTGTCTGGTCGGGGGTGGCTGCTCCTCTGTCTCCTCTACAAACACGCAACATGAATACTGCTCTCCTCTCTCCGCTGACTCTGTCGGGGGGTAGTGGGCCATCTCCGGGTACGACTTGTGCGCACATCGGGGTCCAGATGTAGTATTTCTGATATGTTGTTTCACACTCCGACTGCTTTCGGTGTTTCACGAATTGTGTTCTGGCTGCAGCATGAGCCTCATGTTCAGATCGGCGCTGTGCTCCCGTCGCTCAGGCTGGCGTTCTCTCACCAGCGTGGGCCACTTTTCTGGATCCCGCTGGTTTCGCAAGTCCCAAGGTCTCGGAGGTCTGGCAGGCCCCACAGGTCCGACCGGTCCCACAGGACCCTCAGGTGGCGCAGGTCGTTCCACAATTCCCGCAGATACCACAGGTCTGACTGGTTCCACAGGTCCCATAGGTGCCGCTGGTCTCGCAAGTCCACAGTCCCACAGGTCCAACAGGTGCCAGAAAGGCCCCCAAGTCGCGCAGGTGCCGCATGTCTCACAGGTCCAATAGGTCTCACAGGTCCCACCATCCGCACAGGTCCCACAGGTGCCACTGGTCCCAAAATACAGGTGCCGCAGGCTTCGCAGGCCCCATAAGCCACTGAGGTCCCCCAGGTCACACGGGTCCGACAAGTCCCGCAGGTCCCACAGTTCCCACGAATCCACAATTCCCGCCTCCCCACACGTCCCACATTTCCCACACGTCCAACAGGCTACATATTTTCCGATTGCGTATAACACGACGGGGTTTTCGTGGAAATTCAGGTCGGCTATGACACGTGTCCGCGGATAGAAAGAGAAAACAGCACAATGGGAAGGGATGGGTGGGAGGGATAGGACGTAAGGTATGGCGCGAGCGCGCCTAACCTGTCCCTCTCCCTCGCCTTTTTTACCACACCCTCCCGTCGCCCTCCCCCGCCACGCCCCCCCCACGTTTGCTACAGAACCTGCGTACTATTTACTCTCTCCCCCCCCTCCCCCTGATATTGGGCCAGCGTGAACACTCGCAGCATGCCGCGGCAAAGGCGGATTTTGGGAGGAAGACAAATTACCTTGCGACGTACCCAGCCCATCGGCACCAAGGGATGATATAAAGTGCGCCGACAATAATGAGATATCTACGCCGCAAGAGACGGCGCACGGCGGATCGTAGGTTGGGGGGATGAAACGTAAATAACCCGAACCGGAATGTCGGTTTCGGTTTCGGACCGTGTCATGCGTGCGGGCGAAGCGAAGCTGCGCGAGTTCCTGCGCTGGTAGGGGCCATCTATTGCTGAAAAGGCCGCCCCCCCCCCCGAAACGTCGGGCGTGGCTGCTGGTTGTCCCAGCGGTTGTCCCGGCGGTGGTCCCGATGGTTGCGGTTGCCCCGATGGCTGCCCCGATGGTTGTGGTTGTCCCGATTGGAGCCCCGATTGTTGCCCCGATCGTTGCCCCGATGGTTGTCCCGATGGTTGTCCCGATGGTTGTCCCGATGGTTGTCCCGATGGTTTCCCCAATGGTTGTCCCGATGGTTGTCCCGGTGGTTTCCCCGATGGTTGTCCCGATGGTTGTCCCGATGGTTGTCCCGATGTTTGTCCCGATGGTATATGTATATATATAAATACACATATATATAGTTCAATCGGTGTACACATTTCCATATACATATATAACTGCGGGCCCCGGTATACATTTAGATATATCCGAATATGTCACGTTATATATGTATACAAGCAAGTCCGAAATTACACGCACACACACAACCACACTTATATATATATATATATATATGTGTACCTACTTGTCGGCCGAGGAAACCACACATATACATAGACATATATATATATATATGTATATATATGTATGCATACACATAAATACATACATATACATATGCATATAGGTATGTCGATAGGCATATGTAGATCGGCCGACGTATGAAGGTATATCGGTATACAGATGTCGATCGATATACATTTATACAAATATAGACATACAATATGATGGTGTGCATATACAATTCGTCTACATGAACATGACTATATACATATATCTAAAACGATGGTTATATATACATATATATATATATATGTGCACGCACGGTTGTCCTGAATATGTCATTCGATATATAGGCCGATCGAACCATTGGCAACTGCGCGCGACAATAGGAACATTGAACAAACCACCACCAAACCCAGAGCCATCGCAAATCGACCGCCTCCCCCTCCGCCCCCCCCGCCTCCTTATCACCCTTAGGGTGGTCCGATCGGTCTCTATACCGTGCGGGGTGTACGTGGCGATTCGCAGAACAGAGGTACAAATGGCCAGGAGGAATTGTACTGGGAAGGGGGAGCAAAAGGAAGGCATCGGGTGGAAGAACAATCACCTCGGCAGAAGCAGCGAGATGATGGAGCATGGACAAGGTAAGTTGACATAGGCGGACACGTAACCAGACACTGAAAGGTCGTGTTGTCCGTGCCGACATGCTCAACACCTGCGTGGCCAACGCACCGCCGCGCGTTGCTGCGGCGCCTCGGAAAATAAGCAACTCCCGTTACTAGTGCACGAAGAAGTCAAGGCCTAGCTTGCCGCTTCCTCCCTGCACGTCTTAGTGCAAGCACCAAGCGCGCGCAGGCGCCTCGAAAGTGGCGACAGCTTCACACGTCGCAGCCCCCCCAGGGATGGCGAGGTCTTCTGGAGATCTACGTGGGCTCCATTGTGCTTCCCCGCCCAGCAGGCCTCGAAAGTGGGGACAGGTTTATACTGCGCAGCCCCCCCAAGGATGGCGATGTCTTTTGGAGATCTACGTGGGGCTCCATTGTGCTTCCGCGCCCAGCAGGCCTCGAACATGGGGACAAGCTTACACTTCGCAGCCTTTCCCAGGGATGGCGAGGTCCCGTCGTTTGAATCTACGTGGGGCTCCATTATGCTCCCCGCCCAGCAACCCTCAAACATGACGACAATTTCACACTTCGCAACCCCCCAGGGATGGCGAGGTCCCGTTTGGGTCCGCGTGGGGCCCCACTGTGCGGCCCCCCCCGCAGCCACCGAAAGTGGCGACAGTTCCACACTTCGCAACCCCCAAGAGGGATGCGAGAAGAGAGAGCCGATAGGAGAGCGGGGAGGGGAGAGAAGGAGGAGGATGAGAAGAAGGTGGAGGCGCCACTGCTCTATTCAAAACGCGAACCCAACCAAGGGATGGTTGGGACACATAACCAAACACGTCAAACAGATTCAAAAGAGCACGGAACATTGCCCCCAGACTATGTGTTGACAATTCTTGGCTATCCCTCCTGTAGAGGGACATGCCCGACTTCAAACTAATTACATGTTGTGGCATTTCCAATCAACCACGAGCCCGCGGAGCATGACTCCGAAGCGGCGGATGTCGATTCGATACACTCTGGCAGTGGAGTCGGACTCACCATCGAAGCGATGAGTCGAGTCGAGCCAGGCAGCAGAACCTACACCACGCCTCCCCTCCTCCTCCCCCTCCTCCGCTTCCGTGAATGGGCCTTGTCCTCCTCCTCCGCTCATTTGGGCAGCCTCCTCCGCATCCGCCGCCTCCTCCTCCACCTCCTAACCACCCGCCTCCTCATCCGCCTGATCGGATCCTGAAGCCTCTCCTGCTCCTTGTCGTCTTAATGCTTCTGTTTGTGTTTCCCCTCCCACACGTGGACCTGATCCTCCTACTCCCCCTCGACTTCTTCCTCTTCCTCCAAGTTTGTATTGATTATGTTCCTGCTACCATTCCTGATATGATTCTGTCCTCGGCTTCCCCATGATCTTTATATTCGTATTACTGCTACTATTGTTATTACTATGAATGTATGTCTCCTCCTCCTTCTCCCACCCTGACTCTTCAGCCTCCTCCTGATCCCAGCCTGGGTCGTGCAGGTTGAAGACGTCCTCGACAATCGCCTCCTGCGGCGAGGGCGAGGAGGGGAGCTGGGAGGACGCAGGGCCTCTGTGACCTTCGCTCCGCGCGGAGGAACTGAGGCGCGCGGCAGCGTCTCCAGCCAACAACGGTTCCGCGGTGGCTCGACCCGAGGCGCTGCAGCTGCGGGTTCGGCTCCACCAGACCCTGCCAGAAGCAGGGAAGATGAAGACTTAAATCGGGCCTGTCCCCCTAAAGGGGAAATATCCAAAAATAGTCAACAAAATAGGCTGGGGACTATTTTCGAATATTTGTTTAACCATTTTGGAATATGTTTTGAATCTGTTTTATTTTTCGTCGAAAGCCCCCCTGTATGGACTTAAATGAAGACGCAGGAGGCGGGAGGGGAGGGAGAGAAGGTGGTCGGGGTGGTGGTCTCGTCTGGCAGCCTCCGGTGCCGTGGCGCGGGAGGGGTATGGGGGGGGGGAGGTCACAGAGATGACCAGAGCGGAGGGTGGAGGAGGGGAGGGATTGGAATTGGATGTGGAACGGTGGCGAAACCACATCCTGGCAACCAAGCGCCAAGCATCGTTGTATACAAGCGCTCTGGTCCCGAGTCCCCCCTGAGTATCTCGATGTGCTCACTCCTCGTGCGGGAGGTACGCGCTTGCTGACAAGCACTCGAGTAGGGGATCGATTACAGAATTCATTCACCTCCAAGACTGATGTCATCGTCGAATATACAAAAAAAGATGTCATGTCTTTCGTGGTTTCGACGAAAAAACAAGATCTTGGGGTAACAAAATTCGGTAGTCGATCCCCTACTCGAACCATGGGTCCTTGCCGGGTCCTGTCCACACCAACCTCGCCGCTTGCAGACACGTGCACATACAACCGACCTGCAAATCACAACATGCGGCTGGCTGGCCCACAACCCGGCCAAGTACAGCATGCCCCCTGCAGGTTGTCGACCGGGCCCGCTGGAGATCTTGTTCGGCGTCTCGCAGTGCGCGATCGGCCAACGGATGCAGCCCGCCTTGCAAGAGGGCGAGTAACAGGCGGTGCACTCAAAACTGTCGTCGTCGAGGGCACGCGCCAAAGCGAACACGGCAACTGCTAAGGGCCAGCCCCGTTCCACGCGCCTTCAGCCCGGCGTGCCGCCTCAGCTCCCGACGCAGTCTCAGCCGTCTCGGCTGGCTCGTCCATCCAGGCTGGCTGCTCGAGGAGGGCCCGCTTGACGTTCCAACTGGTGGTGTAGCCGACCATGCCGGTGAGCATCACGTTGACGTCGGTATGTCACGACGCTGCCCCAGTGGGCACCGACGGCACCATGCTGTTCTTGCCACGGGCTTCGCACAGCGCGACGCGCAACCTTCCCCCGCCCAGGGTCGCGCGTCGCCTCGCCCCGCGACTACGCGCCAGTCGCACCTCGTCGATGCTGCGACGCGAAGCATCCCCGCCGACAGCGACGGCAGAGAGAGAAAGCGCGAGCGCCCTCGACTGCGGGCACCAGACACCAAGCCGCCGGCCTGCCTTGCGGGGGATGACACCGCGGACTGCCTGCGTCTGCCTCGGACGCCCGACGTGGGTGCGGAGGCCATGGGCACGACGCCCGACAACAAGCGCTGTCCCAAACCGACAGCGGCCGCTGCTGGGCAGGCGACTGCCTGCCTCCAATGGGCAACGTCCGCGGCGACACCGACCGCGAACCCGGTTCAGGATGACTAAGCACGTGCGGTCGGTCTTCGCACCCATGCGTTCCTGTGCCCACGAGACATCCCCGTCCATGGGGAAACCAAGAGGTACCGATACCGCTACTCCCCGGACCTCTCCCGGGGCGCGTTCTGACCAGAACTTCTAGGCGAAGCCAGCGCGCTGGCGACGAGGGCCTCCCGGTAGGCCCAAAAAGGCTGCAACGGAAGAAGGGTAATGGCATGGGCACCTTTTCCTCCCCTGAGTCTTCGTACCCATCTTTTCCGCGCCCACTTCAATCTGACCAATCCGCCCGCCCCCCCCTGGGAGGAATTGCACGCGGCTTCACGCGGCCAACACTGGGCGGCCGAGAGAGGCCTTCGGCGCGCCCCCATCGGGCCGCAGCGGCGCCACTGCACCGCAGCGCCCCCGCCGAGGGCGGGAGCCCCCCCTGCGAGGAGGGGAGGACGAGGGGGAGAGGAAGGATCGAGGAGGATCCGCGACCAGGGACCCAAGGGGGGGGGAGAGAATCGAGGAAGATCGAGGTCGGGGATCCGAGATGGGGGCCTCCTCCTTAGCCCTTTCGCTGGTCGCACGCGGGGGCCCCACAAGCTCGGGGCAACACGGCGGCATTCGGCAGCGCAGCGCTGGCCGGGGACGTGTCGCTCCGCTCGGGCGCGCAATGCTCCGATCGCGTGCGACGCAGGACGAACCGAAGAGCAACGACAAAACATCATACTGGGAGGACCTGGGCCACAAAGCGGACGGCGGCGTCGGCCAGCGCAGCGTCGAAACTGCACCTGGTGATGTGGCGCTCAAGGCCGCAAGCGTCGCTGTAG